ACCCCTCTGTGCCCAGAAGGGTTTCACCCCTCCATGCCCCAGGAGACCACGGGATGATCCAGCAGGAGATGCTGGTGGGTACTGGCACCTCCAGGAGGTTTTTGGGTGCTGGGTTCTTGCTCACCTGCCGGTCCACGCGAGCTCTTCCCCGATTTCATGAACTTCAGGCATCTCCCCGTCCTCGCTGCCTCCTCCTCCTCCCCCAGCCCCGGCCCCTCCGGCCGTGCCGTTCATCTGCCCCACCTCGTTCAGGGAGAAAACCGATTTCCTGCGGGACAGAGACACTGCTACTGGCACCCAAGGCCATGGTGTAGCTCTGCCTGCACCAGAGCTTGGGTTTGGGCTGAGTTTGGGAAGATCAAGAGCTGGATTTGCTCAACGCTGGTGGTTAATGAAGATTTTCATGGAATTATGGAATGGTTTGGTTGGAAGGGACCTTAAAGATCATCTTGTTCCACCCCCTGCCATGGGCAGGGACACCTCCTGCTAGGAGCTGTCCTTGCAAAGTGGAAACAGCTCTGGGGGCAAAAATTGCTGAAAATCAGAATTTCTGGAACATTTGCAGAGGTTATTTCTGGGAATGAAGGCAAGCCAAGGTGATGCCCTCCAGCATCTCCACAGCAGGAGACACAGGGGTGGTCCAGTGCCACACCTCCCACCCACCTCTTCTCAGCCGAGGGCACTTTTTTGGGTGGCTCAATCCTGATGTTGGGGTCCCACTCTCCGGGTGGCAGGACGATGACTTCATCCAGGAACTCATCTATGCCAGCAATCAGGTCTTCTCTGTCCCGGGCTTTGTAGGCAACGTCACTGAAGAGCTGGGGGTGGGCACAGGAGGGGTGTCAGCCTGGGAGGGGTATCCAGCACCCACACGTCTCACATCACTATGGGATTTCAAAGCTCATTTTTTTGGGGTGACAGGATGAAAATTGCTTTTTTTTTTCCTGGGTTCTGAGCAAGGGGGTCCCCAAGGAGGGTTGAGCGTGGCATCTACTCACGTCATCCACCATGAGAGTCGCGATGGCTCTGCCGATCTCGTTGTAGGATTTGGCTTTTCCCGCGGGACCGAGGAGGATAAAGAGGAATCTGGGAAGGGGAAGGTGCTGTGTTGGCAACCTTGGCCCACCGCCGTCCGTGTCATGAGGCCACTCAGTGCTTTGGACGCCAAGGAGTTCCACTCACCTGGTGGGCACGGGCACCTCTGTCACCCCTCCCAGCATTGTCGCCTGGAGGAGCCGCACGAAAGCCACAAAGGGCTTCTCCAGGAACTCCACTTCTCCCACCAGAACATTGGAGGCCTCTGCATCCTTGGGGATCTTCTTGATGAACTTGTTCTTCAGCTGATGGAAAGACAAAGGTGGGTTGCCAAAAATTTGGAGTTTCCCGTTCTTTTCCACACCCCTCGACTACAAAAGCTCAAACCTCTTTCATCTCTGGCGGTCCCAGGACTCCCAGAGGTGGGGATTCCAGAGCCACACCCAAGAATAAGCCAGGAAAAATTCATAAAGCTGGATTTCTTCATTACTCAGAAACATCACTAAGCCAAGATTAGCTCCAAACCACACCCTCAGGGCTCCGCAGGACAACGGGTTTGGAAAAGGGGCTTTGCTGCTCTGGGGTCTGTGCATGGAAAACTCCATGAAATCCCCCTGTGGAACATCTGAGCCAAAAACCCAGGGATCCTGGAGCAAGTCAAAATGCATTTTTGCAGTCTATTTTCAGCCCTGCAGCCCCAGGGTCCCCCAAAATCCTGCACAACACAGAAACACCCCTCAGTGTCCTGTGGCACTGAGGTTTTTGTGGCTCATTCCTCCCCAATCTCATCCTGGGAGCAGGAACAAATAATGGAAGTAGGAAGCCTCATTCATGGATTTATTCCCCAGGTCTCTTCTCCCCTGCAGCTCTTTCATTATGAGTCTAAAAGGGTTCAATACCAACCCAGGCAGGGTGTTATTCTAATCTATATGGCAGCATGAGGGGAGGCATGTGAGCTGGGCAGGAGCTCTCCCCTTCCTAATCTTTTAAATCCAAATGGAAAAAAAAATCATAATAATAAAGCAACTCCTCCACTGCAGCTTGGAATAAGAGCAGGAGTTAACACTGACCACTAAGCTTCATGTAACACTTAAAAAGTCCCTTTGTAGTGGGTCTAATAGGGCGATTAAACCTAAATGCTTTGCATATTTTGGGATTAACCCTCCAAATCCCATTGCTGGAGGTGATTTTTGGGGTTCCTCGGTGGGCAGCTGGATTGATTCATTTTGGAATGTGCCCTGGAAACCTTCTGCTGCCCTGATGTCATGGCATCCCTGTCCTGTGGCTCCCAGCAACACATGGATTTCCAGCCTTGGCTGAATTGCATCACCCCAGGTAAGGCCAGCAAGGACATCCCTGGGGAAAAGCAAGTTGCTATCCCATATCATCCCCTAAAAACCCACATTGCCAGGAATTTTCCCTTTGGTTTTATGCTGAAATCATGCACAGACAGAAACAAAACAAAGCCCATATAACGCATCAGCAGTTCCCAGATAAAGAGCCTGGGATGGGGACAGGACATCCAGGAAAAGAACGGCACAAAATCCTACTGATCCTGCATTGCCAAGCAGGGATCTGCCTGCAAACTGCCTGAGCAGCTGGATCTCCTTCCCAGCGACCTCATGGAAAAGCCCTTGATGTCCTCTCAGCTGAGCTTTGCATTAAGGAACCAAATAGAGGGAAAAACGGAGCCCAGTCCTATTTCCAGACCCTTCTCTCCAGAGCTGAATCCATGTTTGCACGGGATGTACTTGAATGGGATTTGCCCCCTGCAACCTGCCCTTAAACCCAAGTGCTTGGATGGGATTTATCCTCTGCAACCTGCCCTTACCAAGCAAAGGCTGTTTAGGGATCCCTTCACTCTTCCAAGCACCTTTCCTACCTAAAGATTTCAAGGAATTTTTTTCTCCACCCCAAGGATTTCGAGTTCTGTCGGTGTCCTCGTATATCCCTAATTCCTTGTTGAACTTGCAAGCACAGGTGTGATTTCTGGCACAGCTTCCCCACAAGTTCACAGGGATCAATACAGGCATTGAATTCTCTAATTGGGAATTTGAGTGGATATCGAGCAGGCAAGGCCACACAAGGCTCCCATGGACCTTCCCTTAGGTTGGGATGGAACAGTCCCATCATGGCGTTGGATGGCTGGATGGAAACAACCCCATCACAGGAATGGGGCTGGATGGTTGGATGGAAAGAACCCCATGGGGTTGGATGGGAACAGCTCCATGGGGTTGGATGGTTGGATGGGAACAATCACATCATGGGGATGGGGTTGGATGGTTGGATGAGAACAACCCTATCATGGGGTTGGATGGTTGGATGGGAACAACCCCAAGGGGTTGGATGGTTGGATGGGAACAAGCCCGTGGTGGAGATAGGGTTGGATGGGAACAACCCCATCACAGGGATGGAGTTGGATGGGAACAACCTCATCTTGGGGTCGGATTGGAACAACCCCATCTCGGGGTTGGATGGTTGGATGGGAACAACCCCACCAGGGGTATGGTGGAGACGCCCCTCATGGCACTGCTCTGAGGTTTTTGGGGTGGTTACCTGGTCGGTGCTTGGCGTGTCCGAGATGTCGTTCATGCTCCGACTCTGCGCGTGACCTGAGGGAGAGGAGGGAGAGGAGGTGAGGAGATCACCCCATGTGTGAGGAGAAAACACAGTGGGAGTGCTTTGTGCAAAGAAATTAAACATTATTTATTATTGTATTGTTTATATTATTTATTATTTATTCTAGCTGGGCTTCCAAACCAGATGCAACAAGAGGAAACCCCAAAAATTAGGAAAAAATGCCTTCGCTGAGAAACTGGTGGAGTCACCACCCCTGGCAGTGTTCAAAAAACTTGTGGATGTGGCACCTGGGGACAGGGTTTCACAGAATGCCGGAATATTCTGAGTTGGAAGGGACCCCCAAGGATCACTGAGTCCAAGTCAGTTTAGTGGTGAACTTGACAGTGCTGCTTTAACAGTCGGACTTGAGCTCGGGATGAGCTCAGCTGGTTAAAACTTGGTCTTAATAATGCCAAGGGCATGGGTTCAACCCCTGTATGGGCCATTCACCCAAAAGTTGATCCATGAGGGTCACTTCTAACTCAATGATCCCTGTGGGTCCCTTCCAACTCAGGATATTCTGTCATGATCTTAGAGGGCTTTTCCAGCCTTGATGATTCCATGACTCTGAGTTCTTTCAATATCAATTTTCACACAAACCACCTCATTACGGCTGTGGTGGGACCCCTTCTCATTGAAATCGCCCACTCCAATACTCCAACTTGATTTTTTTGTTCTCCACACTAATTTTAGGGCTGGCCCCCCATCTTACGCAGGCGGCCGTAGCTCGCGCTCTGCCGCATCCGCAGGTCCTCGGTGGAGCGGTGGAAGGCGGCTCCGGTGGCTGGGCTCCGGACGGGGCTGCGGGCTGGGAGAGAGGAGATGTTAGAGGAGCCAGGGGGAACCTTGGGGTGGTGCTGAAGGCAAGAGGCCAGGCTGCAAATCCATTGCTCAACACGGTCGCGACCCTTCCGGCGCCGAAACACCAGCAATTTCGATTTTCCCTCCTCCTCTCATTTGCGCTTTCATCCCACCCACAGGAACTTGCCCACTGGAAATAGGGGAATGTTAAGGGAAATATGAGAATAAACTGTCCTACCCCAAATCTTCCTGCTCCCCAAATCTTTCTGCACACCCCCACACCCAACCAATGCTCCCTCCAAGGCTGTCAATGGGTCCGTCAATGAGGAAAAGTCAACACTTTATTTGGCTTTTTAATCTAATAATTCCCTGGGCAGGGCTGTGGGCTGGGAGAAAGGAGCTGTTAGAGGAGCCATGGGGAATGTCAAGTGGTGCTGAAGGCAACAGACCAGGCTGAAAATCAGTTGCTGAACACAGACATGACCCTTCCATCACCAAAACACCAGAAGTTTGATTTTACTTCCTACTCCTGTTTGCACTCTTATTCCACTCATAGGATTTTTCCCATTGGCAACAAGGGAATGTTAAGGGAAATTTAAGAATAAACTGCCCTATCCCAAATCTTCCTGCTCCCCAAAATCTTCCTGCACCACCTCACACCCAACCACCACTCCCTTCAAGGCCATCAATGGGTTCAGAAGAGCAATTAGAGAGACTTAAAAATTTGTTTCTCTTTTTAATCTAATAATTCCTTGGACAGAGCTGTAGGCTGGAAGAAAGGAGCTGTTAGAGGAGCCATGGGGAAGGTTGGGTGGTGCTGAAAGCAGGAGAAGGAAGCTGTTAAATGAGCCATGGAGAAGGTTGCGTGGTGCTGAAGGCCAGAGACCAGGCTGAACATCAACACAGACATGACCCTTCTGGCACCAAGACACCAAAAATTTGATTTGCTCTCCTACTGTCATTTGCACTTTTATCCCACCTGTAGGAATTTTCCCATTGGCAATCAGGGAATGTTAAGGAAAACACCGTCTTACCCCAAATCTTCCTGCTCCCCAAATCTTCCTGCACCACCTCAGGCCCCATCAATAGTCTTTATCCAGTTATCAGTAGGTCCAGAAATGCAATTTCTGTTACTTAGGAAGACCCAAAACTTTATTTGGTTTTTTAATCTAATAATTCTCCAAAGAAGCCTGCCCTTGAATTTTGCCATGAACTTCACACTTCAGAATATTTACGTTGGCCACCACCAAGTCTCATGTTTCTCCTCCCTAAACTGCTGATGAGGCCCATTTGTTAATCTCAGATGTTTAAACTGAATTACTTGACACAAGGACTTTCCCTTCCCCCATGGATTTTCTGTGCTGAGCCCAGAATTTTCTCAGGAAACCTCTTCAACTCCCAAAACTGCATTTTCCTTTTGGAGAACCATCTGGACCGGTTGTGTCAGGCTGCTCTGCACCTCTTCAAGGTACCAGCTGCAACTACATCATCCCTCCTCCTTTTTTCTGTTGTTAAACCCAACAAAAATAATAATGTCTTGTTTATTCCAAGATCAATCACGGAGCTGCCACTGGCACAAGAAACATGTGAGAACCCTCTGCTCCTTCCAATGACCATCATTTCCAAACTCAAAGAGGTGCCATCACCTCAGCAAGGGAATAATCACAACACTTCCAAGCCAGGCTCTGTTTTGAAGGCTTTGGGTAAATCTTGGCTCAAATACGCAGTCCTGGACATGGATGATGGCTGCTCTGAAACATGGGAATGCCCACGGGGTGGGAATATTATTGATGGCCTCTCCCATCTGCAGCTTGGGCGCCGCTGTTTCAGTCTCCCCGGGGAGCAACTGAGACCTGGCAAATCCCGAGCTCCACCAAGTGACCTCCATTTAAACCTAAGAAAATAATCAGGCGTAAAAGCAAACAAATCCCCTTTTATAAGGGCTCAAAAATAGGTGGGTTCAGCCGCCGAGCAGACTGGATTTGTCTGTGGGCTGCTGTGCCAGAAAACCCCTTGGCCAAGAGACCGCCAGCACCGATGTCCCTCACACAATGGCATTGTCCCCACACGGTGACATTGTGCCTCACACAGTGGGACTGTCCCCACATGGTGACGTTGTCCCTCACACAGTAGGATTGTCCTGACATGATGATGTCGTCCCTCACACAGTGGGATTGTCCCCACATGGTGACATTGTGTCTCACACAGTGGGACTGTCCCCACACGGTGACATTGTGTCTCACACAGTGGGACTGTCCCCACACGGTGACATTGTGCCTCACACAGTGGCATTGTCCCCACATGGTGATGTTGTCCCTCACACAGTAGGATTGTCCTGACATGATGATGTCCCTCACACAATGGGACTGTCCCCACACAGTGACATTGTGCCTCACAGAGTGGGACTGTCCCCACACAATGACACTGTGGCTCACACAGTGGGACTGTCCCCACACAATGACACTGTGGCTCACACAGTGGGACTGTCCCCACACAATGACACCGTGCCCCATACAGTGGGATTGTCCCCACACAGTGACACTGTGCCTCATACCCTGGGATTGTCCCCACACGGTGACATTGTGCCCCACACGGAGACATTGTGCCTCACACAATGGGATTGTCCCTCACATGATGTCATTGCCCCTCTCAAAATGACATTTTCCCTCACACAATGTCATTGCCCCTCTCAAAATGACATTTTCCCTCACAAAATGATGTTGTCCCTCACACAATGACATTGCTCACGCAATGGCACTGTCCTCACAAAATGACACTGTCGAGGGACATTGTCCCCCACACAATGCCACTGTCCCCTGACAGTGACATCCCTTACACAACAACATTGTCCCTCACAGCATGACATTGTCCTTACATAGACACTGTCCTCACACAACGACATTGTCCCTCACACAGTGACATTATCTTTCACACAGATGTTGTCTCTCACACAGATGTTGTCCCTCACACAACAACATTGTCCCTGAACCAATGATGTTGTCCCTTAACCAACGACTTGTCCCTTAACCAACGACATTGTCTCTCACACAATATCATTGTCCCTCACACAACAATGTTGTGCTCTCACATTGTCTCTCACACATCAACATTGTCCCTCGCACAATGCCATTGCCCTCACACGATGATGTTGTCCCTCACTCAGTGATGTTGTCCCTCACATGATGACGTTGTCCCTCACACAAAGATGTCCCTCACACAATGATATTGTGCTCTCCCACTGTCCCTTACACAATGTCCCTCTCACGATGATATTTTCCCTCACACAACAATGTTGTCCCTTACATAACGATGCTGGCCCTTACACAACAACGTTTTCCATCTCACAGTGATATTGTCCCTCATACAGTGCCATTGTCCCTCTCACAGTGACATCCCTTCACACAGTGGCATGGTTCTCACACCACAGAATTATCCCTCACGCAGTGCCATTGTCCCTCACACAACAACATTGTCCCTCAGTCAGCGATGTTGTCTCTCAACCAACGATGTTGTCCCTCTCATGATGACATTTCCCCTCACACAATGACGTTGTCCTCACACAGTGATGTTGTCCCTCACACAACAACATTCTCCTCACACAACCTTGTCCATCTCAGCAAACCCCTCTTCAGCTTCCAGTTCCCAGTGACCCCCCGACCTTACATCCACCAGCAGCAGAACTTTCTGGGTCCTTCTCAATACAGCAAACACTTGAGTGTCCCAAATGGTTGGGTTTCCCCCTTTCCTTCTCCTGAGAAATTCTTCCCCAAGACTCAAGGGTGCAACCAGGTTGGACCCCAAGGACTCACCTGTGTTGGAGGAGACGGATTTCCCGATGTCGGCCAAGGACCGGTGGATTGGTTTCTTGGTTTGGTGGCGGTGCTTTCTCAGGAGCACATAGCTTATCTTCTCCCTCAGCTCTGGCTTGAGCAGACCATCCTCGATCTGCTTCTCAATGACATCATCTGCAAGGGAGGCCCACGGGTCACCCCACTGCAACCCCCCCAGAGTGCCCAGGACAACAATTCTTGAAGCAAATCGGTGGCTCTCAACTCCTGTCTTTGCTTATTCCCACATAACTTGGTTTATGGAGCAGTAAATATATTTAAATCCACTCCCAGCACTTTGGGACACGGGCGAAAGGTGGTTTGGAGTGGACTTCCACCAGCTCCTACCTATAATTTGGGGCAAGGAGTAGCCATCCAGGTCCAGGAGCACCGTTCCCGTCTGGAGACACGTCCGCAGCTCGAACAGGCTGTGCAAGGACAACGTGGACACGTGGGGTTTGCTCCATCTCTCCCCACCTTCCTCCACCTTCTCTTCAAACTTGATCCACCTGGAACGAGAGTGCAATGGGCACAGAACGGGAGAGGTGGGTGAGAAGGGAATAAGACAATGGCTTTTTCCGTGGAGTTTCCTTTCTGCAGGTGGATTTGCAAGCCTGGATTAATCCATTCCACAACATTTTTGCTTCTTGTTCAGGATGGGAATGGAGAAATTCCATAACATCATAACTCAAAGTGCTGCTTCCATGATTGTAGAGTGGAGACGAACCTCTCAGCCCCACCAGTGAACTCAATCCCTCGGATTTCCCCCTCTTCAAATCGCTCCTGTGAGATTTGGAAGGTTTTCCCACAGAGATGACCTTGCCTTAGCCAGGACCTGCACCTCCATGGACCAGCCATGCACCCAGGAGAGCAAACACCAGGGCATTCCCAAGGTTTTTTAATTCCTTAGCAACGCTCTGACCTCAGCCTGGGCCCTTCATTCCCATGGTGGGAGATGAGAGGGTTTGCAAACCCTTGAAATCAACCATTGGAAATCAGCCCTTCCACCTCTGTTCCTTTATTTTACAAACCAAAGGCTTCAGAGCAAATCTGGGAATGGTGGCTGATTTCTCCCAACTCCCTGGGGACAGGGCTCAGGCTCCTGGAAGGGCAGCTCTTGGCGTGACATCGATTTGGGGAAGAAAGCTGCTTTTCCTTTCCAGGAGACTTCCAGGATTAGCCTTCACGGAGCTTAACCTTACAAATTTGAACTGGTACAACTGGGATTTTGGCTCCTGCTGCGCCAGAGGGCACAGACAGAGAGGATGTAGGAGGAGAAAAGTTTTGGGAAACAGCTGCTGGCTCAGGAACGCTGCAGGAGAAGGGTGGGGAGAGCCCTGGGTTAGATCAGCTGCATCAAAATGCTACTCCAAAGACAAATAACAAGTGTTATTCAGGATGGGGATGGAGAAGTCCAATAATACCACCACCTAAAGTGCTGATTCCACGATTGTGAAGTGAAGGCAAACCTCTCAGCCCCACCAGTGAACTCAGCCCCTCAGACGTCCCCCTCCTCAAATCGCTCTGGGGAGGCTTGGGAGGTTTCCTCAACTCCCGAAATATTACAGGAATGGTCTGTGTCAGGGACAAACCCCCAAATATTCCCAGAATTATAATATTTAAGCCTAGTTCTCGTCGTTCCAAGGCTTCCCCTCCCAATTCTTTGGAGAAACCTTTTCTCCAGCCCTTGCAACAACGCTGCTTTGATGGGGAGGCAATTCAAGCTTCCCGCCGTGGCACCCGTGGAGCCCAAAGCCGATTAGGTCACTTTTTCTTTCTTTTTTGCCCCGTTTTCCTGAGGAAAGTGGGTCATTAGGGAGCAGACAGGGTGGCAGCTCAGGTCGGAGTGCAGGACTCAGGGCACGTTTCCAGCGGCGCCATTTTCCCAGGATCAACATCCCGTGACACTTTCGCCAAGGCTACAGCAAAATCCCATCTCCCTGCTGGGCTCAGGGCCTGGATTGCCAGGTTTCATTCCATTTATTGTGGATTTAGAGCTGCTCCCACCTGCTGTTCCCACCGTGGAGCTGCTCTCCCGTGGTTATAGAAGTTCCTCGTCGGGGAGCGGAAATCGGGATTTGAGAAACCTCCACCCTCCCAGGAGGAATTTGGGAACCTCCATCTCAATCCCTCCCCAACGAAAATCCCGATGAATACATTGATTTTTTGCCTTCCAAGTTTTTTTGGAGTGGGGAAGGATGGGTAGATAAAGAAACCTCCCTCCTCCCAGAAGGAATGTGGAAACCTCCATCTCCAGACCTTCCTGATGAAAATCCCAATGAAAATGTCGATTTTTTTTGCCCTCCAAGCTTTTTTGGGTAGTGGGGAAACAAAAACCTTCTTCGTCCCAGGAGGAATTTGGAAACCTCCACCCTCAGCTCTCCCTCATAAAAATCCCAATGAAAATGTTGATTTTTTTCCCTTCCAAGCTTTTTTGGGAGTGGGGAAGGATGGACAGATACAGAAACCTCCATCCTCCCAGCTGGAACTTGGAAACCTCCCTCTCAATCCCTCCTTGACGAAAATCCCCCAAAAAACATTGATTTTTTGCCCTCCAAGCTTTTTTTGGGAGTGGGGAAGGGTGGGTTATAAAGAACCCTCTCTCCTTCCAGAAGGAATTTGGAAACCTTCATCTCCAGACCTTCTTCATGAAAATCCCAATGAAAATGTTGATTTTTTTGCCCTCCAAGCTTTTTTGGGTAGTGGGGATACAAAACCCTCCATCCTCCCAGGAGGAATTTGGAAACCTCCATCTCAATCCCTCCCTAATGAAAATCCAAAAAAAACCCCATTGATTTTTTGCCTTTGAAGCTTTTTTGAGGAGTGGGGAAGGATGGGTAGATACAGAAATGGATGGATAGATAGATACAGGATGGATAGATACAGAAACCTCCATCCTCCAAGGAGGAACTTGGAAACCTCCGTTTCCAGACCTTCCTGATGAAAATCTCAATGAAAATCCCAATGAATATGTTGATTTTTTGCCCTCCAATCTTTTTTTTGGGGGAGCAAGGATACAAAAACCTCCATCCTCCCAGCAGAAACTTGGAAACCTCCATCTCAATATCTCCTTGATGAAAAGCCCCCCAAAAAAAACATTGATTTTTTTTGCCCTCCAAGCTTTTTTGGGAGTGGGGAAGGACGGGGAGATACAGACCTATGGAAAAATAAGGGAGAAATTAAGGATTTTACCAGAAGCATCCCCCACACTGTAGAGTTTGAGCAGGGATGGCAACCAGGAGGATGCTTGTGAGCTTCCCAAATTTTTGGTGATGCAAATAACCAGCCCTGGAGGGAGGATGAGCATCCACAGGGCCTGATCCCGATCCCTCCCAATCCCCAGGGTGAAATCTCACACCCAAACTCGGAAATCCCACATGTGCTGCTGAAAGTAAAGAGTTGGGATCCCATCAGCACCCCTGATTCCCTTCCTAAAGCTCCCCCCAAAAAACCTCAACCCCACTGGCCTTTACAAAACTGAGGTTAGGAAGAGAAAATCCCACTTGGATTTGAGATTATTCCCTTGGGTAAACTCCTGATTCAGTAAAGGAAATTCCACTTGCAACTCCTCCAATAATTTTATTAAAGATGGAGCAGGTGGAGTTTTATTATTGTTGATGGAGGGTGGGAAGAGTTTCACTCTTGGCCCAGGCAGAAAAAGGGGGGGGGCAGGGGGAACCTGGGAAAATGTTCTTTATGTCCTCTGTTCCCATTTCCCAGATCTAATTCTCCCTTTTCCCAGCATCTTACCCCCTTTTTTTACCCTCCCAGCCCTTTCTGCAGGACTTTGGTCACTGGGAATGGGAAAAGCTCCAGCTCTGGGGTTGATCCAAGGACAGACCCTGAGGAGAACCAGGACAAGACGGGAATTCTTGTAAAATCCCCCAAAATGCCATGTTCTCTGCATTTCCCTAATTCAGGAATGTCTTTTTGAACAGATGTTCCTTCCCCGCTCCTGTTTCCACCCGGGCATGTTTAAGGAGGGGATTTTTTTCCCGATTTTTTTCGACCCCAAAGCATCTTCCCACCTCACCTGGCCGATTCCTTCCACTCCATCTCCTCCCCGTCGTGCTGCAGGGTGTCCATCTCCGTGAAAAGGGTGGGATTGGGAGGCTCATCATCTTCCCCCAGGATGTAGCGGAGACGTTCGGCAGCCGGAGACACTGAGGGGGGAAAAGAGGTTTAACATCCGTGGGAGACGAGGGGATGGTGATCCATGGATTCACCCCTTAAAATTCCTCAAAAAGTGGGAAGAGGGGAAAAAAAAGCTGAAAAAAAAAAGCTCATTATGTCAAAGCTTCCCTTTCTCTTTTGGGGTTCCCACTGTTTCAAGGGTGGCACAGCCCTGAAACCCCAAAAGGAGTCACTGGGAAGACCCTCTGGAAGGGGGGAGAAGGAAGGATCTGCTCTTAAGCACCCAAGGAGGCAATTTGGGAAGAGCTGGGATTAGCTACACCCAAACTGAGGCTGTGCAAAGCTCCAACCCCTCCTGCAGGATTGCAAATCCCCCTTCTTTCCCCAGTTCATCCAGAGATCCCCCCCAAGGCAGAGATTTCCAGCAAACTCCCAATTTCTGTGGTTCAGCTCGTCCTATTTGGGGTGAATTTGGGGGTTTGGAGGAAGTTTAGGGTTGTTTGGGATCCTGGGGTAAAAAGCACGGAGGTTTTGAGGGAAATATTTGAGGTGAGAGACATTAAGGAGTGGGAAACTCTAAGTAATCCTGTCCCAAAATCCCTGTGCAAAGATGTGGGATGATGGGGGGAAGGATGAGTGGAAGCCAGCAGGGGAATTCTGAGATGATGGCAGGAAGGGTGAGTGGAAGGAATATAGATGCAGGCTGGGAATTGAGGAATGTGGCCATCCCTATATAAAATACCACAAAATTCCCTTCCAGGAGCATTATGATCCTTGTTTCCAAGGGCTATCCCACATTTTTCCTTGCCATGGAGCCTGTTTTTGTCAGGCTTTGTCTCCTGCCCTCAGCAACCAAATCCTTCCAGTCTCTGGATGGGGATGCACAAGAGCTTAACACACCTTTTCCCACTGGATTCCCGTGGAGAATGTGAATCCTTGAAGGGGAATAACACAGATTTCTGCTGGAAAAATCCAACTTCCTGCAGCCAGGCTGGAGAGGGCACTTATTTCCTCCTGCTTCCCACGGGAACACATCACCCACCAACCTCCTGACTGGGGGGAAAAGGGTTTTCCATCCCCAGTGAATTCCTGGAGCCCACAGGAGGGTGACAGAACCTCCTCCAAAAAACCCAGCCTGGCTGGATTTGCTTTTCACCCTCTCCATCCATTTTCTAGGAAAAACCTCAACATTTTGGTCGTGGGGAGGAATCAGACACCTGGGTATGAACCTGGATGTGCCCCAGTTGCTCCCCGTGGATGGGAATGGTCCCCAGTTGCTCCAAAGAGATTAAAATCACCCTAAAATCCATGGAAATTGGTGTATTTTAGTACAATCTCGAGTATCCTAAACCAACAGGAATTAACCCAGCTTGGCAAAAGGTCTTTTTTTTTTTTTTTTTTAAGCAAAATCCTCCTGGTTTCAAACTTGGGAATAAGAAAGTTGGGTAATAAAATGTCCCAAAAAAGCAGGTAATTAAATTTCAATGTGTGAGCAGAGGAAAAAATGGGAATATTGCCCTTTTCCCCCACAAAGGAGATGACCCCAAGTCGTGTGGGCCCTGGAAGAAGAGGATGTCCCTTTAGGCTGAGCCTGCTTAACCACTTAAGCCCTCTAAGCCCCACCACCCAGACTAAAGCCCTGTTGTCAAGTCCTCCTTCATTTCCATAAGCTTCATTATTATGATTATTAAATATTCCTGTTAATTTTAGAGCTGGGCTCCCTGCCTGGAGGGTTTCAGGCTCTTTAAGCCTAAGTGCTGTTCTGGGAAGGAGGATGAAATGGGTACAATGCTGGTAACACCCCCCTCAGCCTTTGCCCTACAGTCCAAACCCTAAACTTCCTCCAAACCCCCAAATTCACCCCAAATAGGATGAGCTGAACCACAGAAATTGGGAGTTTGCTGGAAATCTCTGCCTTGGGGGGAATCTCTGGATGAACTGGGGAAAAAAGGGGGATTTGCAATCCTGCAGGAGGGGTTGGAGCTTTGCACAGCCTCAGTTTGGGTGTAGCTAATCCCAGCTCTTCCCAAATTGCCTCCTTGGGTGCTTAAGAGCAGATCCTTCCTTCTCCCCCCTTCCAGAGGGTCTTCCCAGTGACTCCTTTTGGGGTTTCAGGGCTGTGCCACCCTCAAAACAGTGGAAACCCCAAAGGAGAAAAGGAAGCTTTGACATAATGAGCTTTTTTTTTCAGCTTTTTTCTCCTTACCCTCCCACATTTTAAGGAATAAATCCATCTTTCCACACCTTCCCAGCAGGGTCAGCCTCTGCTCAGCGACCTGAGCCAAGAGCCCCTCGTTAAACCAACACCAGCAGGGCTTGGCAGCCAAAATTCAGGGAATTTGTTCACCTGGAGGAGCCTGGGAAAGCACCCAGCAATCCCTGCTTGGTTTTTGCACCTGGAAGTTTGATCCAAGACCTGAAAATCCCGGGAGGCAGCAGGTGCTTCCTTGGGGGGATATATTGGACAGTGGCATCTATTTGGCCACACAGCCAAAATTCATGGGATTCATTCACCTGGAGAACTCTGGGAAAGCATCCAGATCTCCCTGCTTGATTTTTTCACCTGGAAATTTGATCCAGCACCTAAAAATTCTGGGAAGAAGCAGGTGTTTGCTTGGGAGGATATATTGGACAGTGGCATTTAAGGTTTGGCACCTTTGGGAGCTCAAGAGTAAAATTGCTGCAGTGGCCAAAACTCCTCCAAACCCCCCAAAATCAGCAGCTGTTTGTTGAAGACACAGTTCAAGGGGTGCCCAGAGAAGATCCAGATCTCCCTGAACTAATTTTTAGGATGGGAAAACACTTCCAGCTGCAATTCCTGCAATTCCCCACTGTGATTTAAGCCACAGTGGGTCCAAATGGAGCCCAAAGCCACAGAATCAGGTCAACATCAACACTGGGAATATTTAGGTTACATAGGATATATATGGGATATTTGGGATAATTCTACACGTGCAAGACCTCACGTTTCCTTGGGAAATGGGACAGGACAGAGCAGCTGGAATGATTTAAACCTCCTTCAGTCCCGGGTCCGCAGAGCCCTTCACACCCCAGCTTTGATCCAGCAGGAAAACCTGACCCAGAGATGCTTTTCCAAACTGAAATTCCCACTCTGGCTTAAGGTAGAACAAAAAAAAAAAAGGGGATAAAATTAGGGATGGGGGAATGTGGTGCTGCTTGGGGTTTGCAGGACTAAGCCTGATTCAGGGCTCCAGCACATTAACCATCGGCTCTCGTGGTCCCTCTGGATCCATAACAGCCTTTCCCTGGCTTTTCATGGATCAGAAGGGTCACCACCTCCCAAAAGAAAGAGGAGACTGGGGTGCACATCCCATGGGATTAGATACTCTTTTCTTTTTCAAGAAACCTGTAAATCTGGGAGACCTTTTATCCCTCCAAATATCACCTTTTCCACTTCCCCTCTGCTGGGGAGCAACGGGAGCTGAGAATTCTCCCAGTTAATTTTAGGGATGAGCTTTTGAGCTCCATGCCCTGAGTTCACCTGCAAGCTCCCAGGCTGCTTTCACAAGAGAAAAAGTTGATTTTACAAGGGAAAAAACAAAGCTAAAAAAAACCCTGGAGCTTTTTTCCCCCTCCTGCTCCCCCGACGGCGGCTGCCATGAAATGCTGGGAAAAATCCTACCTGGAGTCGTTTCCATTTTTTCCCCCATTTCTTCCCGGCCAAACCAAACCTTCGCTGCTCGGTACCAAAAACCACCAAACCCCCGAACTTCCTCCTTTATCCACTCAGGCTTGTTAAACTCCCAAGGCTTAAGGAGCAGATTACAGAGAATATAAAGCACTTTCCTTTCCCTTTGGCTCCCATGACGGGAAGTTACCAAATCAAACGAGATGCGAGTGGGAGAGGTGAGATCTCTGGGAGGCAGTGGGATGGACAGAGGGAGAAAGGGGAGGGTGAAACGCTGGGAGGGCAGAAATCACAGCTTTGGGGTTATTTCCTGCAGGGTTTTTCTTTCCCACCTGGAAGGAGGTGGGAAAATCCCCTGGGAGCTCAGAGCAGAAATTTTTTTCAGGGAAAAATAGCCTAAATAAGGAGGATTTCTGAGATTTTTGGGGTGATTTTCCTCCATAAAATGACTTTTCTCCCTCCAAACCAGCCCAGGGTTTTATCCCAGTGGCATTTACTGCCTGTGGAAAGGAGGAAGCTCCACGAAAGCCACGAAGGAGCTGCGAGCGGAGCCCGCTGCAAATAAAAACCTCTTCCCACGCCACAGAAAAGCTCTGGAAAACTTTTCCTTCCGTAGAGAAAAGTGGAGCCCGCTCAGGTGAGCTGGACCTAAACCCGAAGGCATGTTTCTATAGGAGGGGGGGTGGCAAAAACCCACCCCAAGGGCTCGGCAGCTGTTTTGCTGTTCGAAATGTTAATCTGGGCTTTAATCCTAAAGGAGATTTAACGAGACCAGGCAAAGCCGCGGGCAAAAGCCTGTCGGGAACAAGGTGTGATGCCCGAGGTTTGTCTGCACTCCCTGGACGCCGATTTCCTCGCCGGCGACTTCCCAAGGGACGGGACAACCCCACTTCACTCCAATTCCCACCCTGCGACACGCAGGGAAAAATAAACCCGGGAAGGGCGGCGCGCCGGGGGGGGATTCAATCCCGGCTTCAGCGATGCTCCGGAGGCTCTCCCGGTTTTTTTGGGGAGCACTCACTGGTCCTGCTGGCGTTGTCATTGCCGCTCTCGTAGCAGCCGTGGCCGCCGTCGTCGGTGTCCGAGGGGTCGTGGCGCTCGAAGGGCCGCTCGCTCTCGCTCCGGTCCCGGCTGGAGCCCGGGGATCTCCGGCGGCGCCGCTTCCTGCGGTACCCCCGCGGCACCGGCACCCCGATGTAGATGGAGTGGTAATCTAGGGAGGGGGGAGAGCTTCAAAAGCGGGTCTGGGACGTCTTACAGCAGCAAAACAACAATAATAAAAAAATTACTTTCTAGTTAAAGCTTCCGATTTAAAAACTCCCCAGTTAAAAAAAAAAAAAGCCAGGGAGGTGTTTTCCCAGTTTCCCATCAGGAGTTTATTCCGTGGGATGTGCTGGATCTAGAGAATGAAGAAAAACTTTAAAAGCTTGCAGTTGAAAAAAAATCCAGAGAGGAGGAGGGGGGAAAAAACCAGAACTGGGATTTCTCATTTCCGGTTACAAAAAAAGGAAAAGTTCGCTTTCCACAGTAAAAAAACTTCCAGTTTACAAAGCCAGGGAGATGTTTCCCATCTTCCCACCAGGCTTAAAGCACACAGGAGTTTTATTCCACGTTGTGCATGGGATGTGCCAGATCTAGAGAGGGAGAAAAGCTTGAAAAAGCAGGTCTGGAATGTTTCACTTCCAGGTAAAAAAGTTCACTTTCCAGTTAAAAAAAGAGAAAAGTTCTCTTTCCAGTTAAAAAACTTCCAATTTAAAAAGCCAAGGAGATGTTTCCCATCTTCCCACCAGGATTAAAGCACACAGTTCATTCCATGGGATGTGCTAGAGAATGAAGAAAAAGGTTTTAAAAGCTTCCAGTTTAAAAAAAAAGTTCACTCTCCAGTTAAAAAAAGGTTCATTTTCCAGTTAAAAAACTTCCTTTATAAAAAGCCAGGGAGATGGTTCCCATCTTCCTGCCAGGATTAAAGCACACAGGCTTTAATGCACACATGTTGTGCATGGGATGTGCTGGACTGAGAGCACATCTGGGGAAAAAAAATAGCAGATCTGGGATTTCTCACTTCCCATTAAAAAAGAAAAGTTCACTTTCTGGTTAAAACTTCCAGTTAAAAAACTTCCGGTTAAAAAAGCCAGGGAGATGTTTTCCATCTTCCCAGCAGGCTTAGGGCACACAGGAATTTATTCCATGGGATGTGCTGGATCTAGAGAGGGGAACAGGTTTAAAAAGCAGATCTGGGATTTCTCATTTCCAGTTTAAAAAAAGGAAAAACTTCACTTTCCAGCTAAAACCTTCCAGTTAAAAAAACCCGGGGAGATGTTTCCCATCTTCCCACCAGGCCTAAAGTTTATTCCATGGGATGATCCACAGGGATCTGGGGAAGGGGAAAAGCTTTAAAAAGCAGATCTGGGATGTCTCACTTCCAGTTACAAAAAAAGTTCCAGTTTACAAAGTCAGGAAGGTGTTTCCCATCTTCCCACCAGGCTTAAGGCTCTCAGGAATTTATTCCATGGGATGTCCCGATGAATCAGCCGGCAGGGAAGCCCCTGCTGCCTTTGGGAGCATTCCCGAGGTTTCACTCACCTTCCTCATCCTCGTATCTCCTCCTGGAGCTGCTGAGCCCCCTCTCGCTCATCCCGTCCTCATCCTCCAGCATGTTCCCGCTGCTCCGGGAGAGCTGAGCCCGGCAAGGAGAAAGGAGAGAGGTTTTCAGGGATGTTGGGCAGGGAAGAGCCTCTTTGCACACCTGGCAGGTGCTCCCCACTCCGGGAATCCACGTGTGGAATGACGGGATCCTTCCCGGCCGGGAGAGCCGGGACTTCCCTGTGGAAGCACAGGGGACCCTCTGGAATGTCCTCCCTCGGTGAGCTCAGCCCTGCCTGTGCCAGCCCTGCCCGTGCCAGCCCTGCCTGTGCTCCACGTCCACTCTCCCCAGGTTTAAGAAAACCGGGATAAATTTTGTCTCCGGGCTCCAATTTCTGCTGCTCAAAGCAGAGGGGGAGTGAAGTGCAAGGAATATTTATGGAGATTTGCTGCCACAGTTGTGGACACGACATCAGTTCACGGGGGTTATTTGCTGGCAATAAACACTCATTTAATTTTTTTTTGCGGGGGGACCTGCCCAGATAAAAGGGATTTTTCACAGCTAAAAGGGGTTTTGCAGACGCAGACTTTGCTTCCTCATCTCCTGAGCACAGATTTTACACCCTACACTTCCAGATCCCTTCCTTCCGACCTGCCGCTTTATCCCCCCAAGAGTTCCTTCGCATTTTGTCCCGGCTGTTAATTACTCCCCTAATTATCTGACCTCCAGTGATTGCCTTTCACACTTGACTGGGGCGGCAGAACGGTTACTATTCCTGGCAGCCCGGTCGATGCCTCCCAAAGTCACTTTGAGAGTGATCAGAACCAGCCTCTCCGTGTCCCCCGTTCCAGCTCCTGGAATCCATGGCAAAATCGCACCATTATCCATCTATTTCAGGGAAAAAAAACCCCAACTCAAGCCAAAGAGGTTCAAAACATCAAGCAAACAGGGTGTGCCCCTAAAAAGCTGGAAGGACCCCGGGGTGCCCAGGTTGGCTCTGCTTTGGTTGCTGATTTATCGACCCGTTTTCCCCCAGGCAAAGACCATCTTTATCCCAATAAACGTTCCAGCCTTAACACAGTTGATATTTAAAGGCACCTCTTGATTTAAAAGATTCGGGATTTTTTTTTCCCTGACACTTTTTTTTAAGGAACCAGTTTATTTTAGGGACAAACTCCTCTGGATGGGCAACTGTGCCCCAAATCTGGGTGTATCAACAGCAGCCATGAGCCTTGGCTTCCTGAAAATAACATTATTGGGATAATTCTGAGGGTTTTAGGAAGCTGGTGGTGGCAGGAAAAGCAGTAAAATACCCTCCCCCGCCCCCCAGCTTCAGGCAGAAATATTTTTGCTCCAAAAATGACTTTCCAAGAGACGAAGTTTCACAACCCCCCAAGATTCCTTCAGTGGCAGGTTGGGGATGATGGATGGGGCTAAAGGACCCTCCAAATGGGATAATATTGGAATGAAATAGGACTTTTTTTGCAGTCTAGTTTGGCTGGTCAGAGTTTTACCTTATCTCTGCTGGGCAGCAAAAATAACCCACTGGCTAAACCCTTTGATAGATCCACTGAGAAATGAAATATCCTGGTTAATTATGGTTGATTTATGAGAGCAATAAAACCAGGGTTTTTTTCCCTGTTATATTTTACACATAAAAATTCCCCCCCCCCCCAACTCCCTACATCCAAACACAAGCATAACACGGAATAGAACTACTGGAAAACCTGACTCTAAGTGGAGCTGAAACAAGAGGAGGGAAAGAAAAGTGCTGTCACCTCTCCCAGTTAAACCCAGTTCTACCCCCCCCCAGCTCCCAGTTCCACAAAACCAAGTTTCACCCTTAAGAAACTCACCTTGAGCTCTCAGAGGAGATGTTCAGAGGGAGGACGGGGCTGCAGAGGAAAGTCAGGGGTGCTGGTGGGAGCGGGAGCCCAGATTGCCTTGGGATGAAGCTGCTCTTCCCACCATCCTATCGACGCCCAACTGGAAACGCTCCGCAGCTCCCGGGTCAAAATGTATTTTGGGCAACAGTGATCGACTTCTGGGAGCAGAGAAGCATCATGGGATGCAAAGAGACCTCGGGAGAGGATGGAACATCAAACCAGCAGAGATCCTGCCCTGCACAGGGCTGGACTCGGGCTGTCACACCACCGGGACGTGGAAAATCCAAGCTGTCCCTCCCCAGCCTGCAGGATTTGTGTCTTCTGGGGCTGTCGGGGGCTTTTTGTCCATCAATTTTGGCTCAGTTCTGAGGGATTTTGGAAGGGAATTTCTTTTATGTCTTTTCTCTGTGCAATTTCATGATTTTAAGGGGGAAATGCCTCAGGGAAGTGCAGAGGGGCATCACCATCACTGAGATGCTCCTAAAAGCCCTGGAACAACAGGACCAGCCCCCGGGGCACCAAACGCAGTTTGGGGGAGAGTTTATCACACGGAATTCTTTTGCAATTCCATGTTTTGCTTTCAATGTGCTGATCATGTGTAAATTCAATGCCACAAAGAGCAAACTCTGGGCCACAGGAGCGCTCCCAGCTCAGCTTCCTGAGCTCTGCTCCCATTCCACGCTTGGCTTCCTCGCCTCCCTTTGGCCTTTTAACAGGGATGTCAATAAATCCACATGGAACAGCTCCTGGCTCCTCAGCAGAGCTGGGCTCGTTGTCAGGCAAGAAAAAAGGACTGGGAAAATCAGATTTTGAGCTTGAAATCATCTGAACTCGGGCCTTTTCTCTCACCTCCGGGGGGTTATTCCATGGCATGATCCAGAAATCAAAGCAAAGCCTGTTTGGTGCTTTATTCCTGCTCCTGTTTTCTTCCCAGCTCCTGTTTTGTTTGATTTACTCTTCCATGTGGAGCAGGGTCAGGTCTAGAGCAAGGCCAGGTCTGGAGAAAGGTCAGGTCTGGGGCAAGGACAGGTCTGGAGCAAGTTTAGGTCTGGAGTAAGGACAGGTCTGGAGCAGGGTCAGGTTTGGAGAAAGGTCAGGTCTGGAGCAATGTCAGGTCTAGGATCGAGGTCTGGTCTGGAGCAAGGACTGGTTTAGAGCAAGGCCTGGTCTAGACCAAAGCCAGGTCTGGACCGAGGCACCAGAGCCTACAAGATTTCATGGGAATTTGGGAATGTCTTTGGCATCCTCTTTATTTGGAGTAATGAGCATGTTTGGATGCTGAGAAAACCTTTTCCAAAGTGAATTTTCATTTTCCTGCTCTTGCTTAAATCCACCTTTCCCCCTTCCCAGGCACTCACAGCCCAATTGTCCGTGGGAATCGTGGATCTGAGTGTCCCAGCTGATGGAGAATCAGCTTCTCCCCATCACTCACTGCACTCCAAACCCAGGATTAAGCCTGGGATGAGACCTGAGACCTGCTCCCATCCCGTGCTGGGCTCCAGGAAAAGGGAATCCAGGTGTTGATGTTTCTTGTCCTGTGAATAAGGGGAAAATAAAGGGAATTCACTTTTTTCCCTCCAATTCCATGGAAATTTATTGGAATTTATTTGAATTTCTCAGCTTGGATTTCTTAAGGTTTTATTAAACCCCTCGTGGAGAGAGGGAGGAGAAGGAAGAAAAGCAAAATTCCATGAGCAGGAGCCCTGTTATTCCTTAAATATGCAGGCTCCTCCCGCTCTCCTGGGCTGCAAAAACACCCCAATTTTGGTCACAACCTTATTATTATTATTATTATTATTATTATTATTATTATTATTATTATTATTATTATTACTAATAACAATAGAATATTATTATAACTATGCTAAATTCTTATACTACAAATAAATTATTATAATAAAAATTATAATGATAATAATAATAGTGGTGATGATTATGATGATAACGATGATGATATAATAATTATTATAATAGTGATTATGAGTATGATGATAATAATGAGGATTATAACAATAATAGATTATTGTAATAATGCTAAGTTCTTATGTTACTAATAAATTATGATCAAAAGAACAATAATAATGGTGATGATAATAATAATATTGATGATTATGATGATAAAAATAAAAATTATTCTAATAAATTATAAATTATTATAATAGCAATAATAATGATTATTATAATAATTGTGAATATTGTTATATTAATATTAATGTTGATTATGTCAAATAATTAAGATATTAATAAATTATGACAATAATAATGATAATTAAAATAGTGATTATGAGTATTATAATAATAATGAGAATAATAATATCAAATTATTATATTAATGGTAAATTCTCATATTGCCAATAAATGATTATAATAAGAACAATAATAATGATGACGATAATTAAAATAATGATGATGATTATGATGATAATGATGAGAATAATAAAAATTATTCTAATAAATTATTATAAATTATAATGAGAACAATAATAATGATTATAATAATGATGATTATGATGATAACAATTATATGGACATTAATAATATAAATATTAATATATTATTATATCAGTGACCTTCTCTTAGATGGATGGCCTTACGGGGCCAAGCGAGCTCCACCTGCCTGGGTTTGGGATCAGAGCTGTCCTTCTAGGATGGTTGCCAGGGGGCTAGTGAGCCCATCCTGCCCATGGACATATTATATCTGACCCTACGGTTTGGACCTGTCTGGCATGGGAGACCCTACCAAAGGCAGGTACCATTGCCAGCTCCCAACCTGCCAGGGGCACACAGGCTTCCTCCCCACTGAGCCCCCACGGCCCGGCAGACCCCCTCCCTCACCCCCAGACTGGGCTGGCAAACCTGCCAAGATCCTCCTCTCAATGCTAAATCATCATGATATTACTAAAGTATGATAAGAAGAACAATAATGATTAGAATTATAATGATAGGCATGATGATTATATTAATATTAATAATACAAATATCACTAGATTAATATACAGATGCTACATTATTATAATACTAATAAATTCTGATAATAATGACGATGATAATAACAGTGATTATGAATATGATGCCAATAATGAGGATAATAATAATAGATTATTATAATAATGCTAAATTCCTATACTGATAATAAATTATGATCATAATGACAATCATAATGATGATCATAACAATAATAGTGATGATGATTATGATGACAACAATGATGATAAAAAATTATTCTAATAAAGTATTCTAATAAATTACAATAACATCAATAATAACGATTATTATAATTGTGATTCTTATAGTGACATTAATATTATTAATTTAATGTATTATTATAAAATGCTAAATTATTACTATATTAATAAATTATGATACAATAATAATTTTAATTATAGTTACGATAATGTTTGCATTAATATTAATAATATTTAATATTACTATTACTAGATTAATCTAATAATGCTACATTATTATAATATTAATAAATTATGAGGATAATAATAATGGTGATTATAATAATAGTGATTATATTATGATAATGAGAATATTGATAATAATAGTAATAACAATAGTAATAATCATAATAGTAAAAATAAAATAATAATAACCACCAGTAATCTCCTGCTCATCTCCCGACAGGAAAAAACAGTTCCAAAAGTGTTTTTTCCAGGCCTGTGCTGGGAATTTTTCCCATTTAATTAAAAAGTGGAGCCTGGGAATGGTCACAAGAGGGAGACAGAGCCCGGTAGTTCAACAGCAGCTCCCCCTCTTCCCTGCTCGGGTATCCACGGACATAAAACCAACTTCCAAAATATCCTTATTAATAAAAAGATACGAGAATAAACCCAGTGCTTCCTTCACTCTTCGGAAAATGGAGTTTTCCCCTTCCCCTTTCGCTTTTGGGATGATTCCTCTCACGATAAATGGGATAATTACAGTCACTGCGGGGGATCCACAGGCTTTGGGCACATTTGGAGAGAAAACAGGTCCCTGATCCAAGTTTATTCCCTTGCATTTGGCTCCTGGCTGCTTTCTGGGAGGCTTTACCATGGGTGGGTTACCCTCAGCAGGGGGTTTCTCTGGGGTTTTTTTGGGTAAAAACACACCTACAAGTCCTCAGTTTAAGTCTTCCCCCTCCAAGCCCATTTCCCAACTCGCCCAGCCAAGGTTGGACAACATTCCCCGGCTTTTAAATTCCCACACCCCAAGAGATACAGGGGGGAATTGGGCTGAAAAAAGGAATATTGGTAAAGGAAATTCCTTACCTGGGCACCGGGGGTTGGTCTCCAGCAGAGGAATCACCTCCATCCCAGGGGCACCACACGGAAAACCGTCCTCAGTTTCCAAATTTAAACATTTAAACACGTAAACGTCCTTTTCCTTGCCTGGGAGTAAAAACTGAAGCCACAGTTCATGGAGAAGAGCCAGAAACCCTCAGAAAGGGGTGTTTTCCTCCCTGCCCAAACAGCCACTGTGATCCAGGAGATGGAAGCTGTGCTTCCCTGGAATTCCTGGAAAAGCCCTTTGGGAAGGCTCTGCAGAGAAAGCTGCTCCGTTCTTTCCTTCTGTTCTGCTTTCCTGGAGTTGGGCACATCTGGGGAGCTCTCAGAAAGCCACGATTTCTCAGGAAACTGGGATAATCCTACACTAAAGACCCCCCCGAGCACATTGAAGGTGCCACCCCCTCCCCAAGAGCCCAACCAGTGAGTGGTGAGTGGAAACAACTTTGCAAAACACGAGAGAATTCACATTTATTGTATAAAAAAAAAAACCCAAACCCCAACCAGGAGCTGCACAAACACTTCAAAAGGCCAAGCAGGAGGACCCCGGGGAGCCCCTGTGCCCACATGGTAGGTTTTTGAACCTTCCAGTGCTCCGTTCTCCCCAGAGCACCTCCAGAACCTGAGAAGATAAATCGCGTCATTTCCACGCTCGACACCCGCTGCCTCCTCCGGAGCTTTCCGAGTCCTCCAGCTCCTCACACTTTGCTGTGGGATGTGCTGCCTTCCTCCTGCTCCTCTTCCTCCTCATCCCCAGGGTTGACAGGGATGTACCCCCCTTCCCTGGGCAGGCACCAGCACCAGCCGGCGCCGCTCAGATCCACAGCCCCGAAGCTGAAATCCCGCAGCTCCAGGATCCTGAAATCCACGGTGTCCAGCTTGGAGTAGATCTCATTGAGCTTCTGCCAGTAGAGCCAGGCCATCACCAGCCCCACCACCTGCAAAATGGGAGGGTCAAAACCACTTTGTGGTCACACAAATCCCGTTGGACTTTCCAACTCTGCAACCTGCTCACTCATCCTGACTCCCAAGGGTTGTCTCTGGGTTGGGAATTTCATGGAGCAGCCCAATGCCAGCTCCAAAATGCTGTGTTTTAGCAGGAAACCCGCCTTTGGATCATGTTAAAGAATCAGTGGATTTGAGCTTCTCCAAGGAGGTTCCCTAAAATATTGGGTCTCTGTTGGAGCACCCTCCTGCTCTTGGGGCTGGGAAAATTGCCAGGCATGGAATGGTTTGGATCGGAAAGAACCTTGAAGCCCATCCAGTGCCACCCCCTGCTATGGGCAGGGACACCTTCTACTATCCCAGGTTGCTCCAAACCTTGTCCAACCTCACCCTGGACACTTCCAGAGATCCAGGGGCAGCCACAGCTTCTCTGACAATTCCATCATAGCTGCTCCTCACCCTCACAGCCAACAATTCCTTCCCAATATCCCATCTAGCCCTATTCTCTGGCAGTGGGAAGCCATTCCCTGTGTCCTGTCCCTCCACCCCTTGTCCCAAGTCCCTCTCCAGCTCTCCTGGAGCCTCTTTAGGGCTCCTCTTTGAACTGGATCCCATTGGACTTTCCAACTCTGGGACTGAGCTCTGCTCACTCAGCCTGACTCCCAAGGGTTGTTTCTGGGCTGGGAATTTCATGGAGCAGCCCATTGCCAGGCCCAACTGCTGTGTTTTAGCAGGAAACCTGCCTTTGGATGATGTTAAAGGATGAAGGGCTCAGGCAGAGGCTGACTGCTTGTGTGGGGCCAGGGAAGCTGGGGGGGAAAAGGCTCTTTTATCCTGACTGGAAGTGGCACCTCCCCCAGTGCCCTGGAGCTGGGGGGCACAAGGGGGTCACCTGAGAGCAAGCACTTGGGAACAATTAATAAAAAGAGTTCAGTAGTTCTCTATATCTTATATTTATCTCTATTACACAGAGAGTTTTGTGGCTCAAAGCTGTTCATTGTGAGTTTTGTGCTTCAGCAGGAATTTGGCTCTGGTGACTCTTGGAAACTGGGTGAATTTACCAGCGTGGCTGGAAAGTTTCCTTAACACAGAATCAGGGAATCCTCGAGGTTGGAAAAGCCCTCCAAGGTCACCCAGTCCAACCTGTGCCCCATCCCCACCTTGTCCCCCAGCCCAGAGCACTGATGCCACGGCCAGGCCTGCCTTGGACACCTCCAGGGCTGGGGACTCCAAACCTCTCTGGGCAGCCCCTGCCAAAGCCTGAACACCCTTTCCAAGAAGAAATTCCATCCCATGGAGCCACCTCCTCTCTCAGGGGAGGTTGGGACACTGAGTCCTTGGGTCATGGGGTAGATCCATAGGCTCCTTTGGGTTGGAAAAGCCCTCCAAGGTCACTGAGTTCACTGCCAAGGCACCACTGACCCATGTCCCCAAGTGCCACATCCCCAGGGATGTTAAATTCCCTCAGGGATGGGGACTCCACCACTGTGCCAGGGCTGGACAGCCCTTTCCAGGAAGGAATTTCCCCAGTATCCAACCTGACCCTCCCCTGGCACAGCTTGAGGCCGTTCCCTCTCCTCCTGTCCCTTGTTCCCTGGGAGCAGAGCCCGACCCCCCCCGGCTCCCCCCTCCTGTCAGGGGGTTACAGAGCCAGAAGGTCCCCCCTGAGCCTCCTTTTCTCCAGGCTGAGCCCCCCCAGCTCCCTCAGCCTCTCCTGCTGCTCCAGCCCCTTCCCCAGCTCCGTTCCCTTTCCTGGACACTCTCCAGCCCCTCAATGTCTTGTCATGAAGGGCCAGAACTGCCCCAGGATTTTGGGTGTCCTACCAGTGCCCAGGACAGGGGAGGATCTTCCACCCAACCAACAGCCTCACTACAGTCATTATTAGCCAAATCCATCTCCAAATTCCCTCTTCCCTGACAGAGGGATGTGGATTCATTGAACATCACCAGGAGTGTTGCAGAGATATCCAGGGCCAGCCCTTGCTGAAAACAGGACATTCCTGCAAGCCTGGTGTCACACAGGTCATTCCAATTTCCCTGCTGGCTGGCAGGGAATTAAAAATTAGGCTTTAAATCTTCAGGAGGATGGTGAGGAAGGGGGAGGATTTTCATCAGAGCTGGGTATCAAGCAATTTGCTTTGATTTCACCCGATGGGGCTTCACTGCAGGGGCTGAAAACATCAGGATAATTCATGGCCAGGAGGGATTTGCAGCCCAGACACTGAGGAGGAAACGGGGCAATTGGAGTGTTTTCAACACAAACTGCACCTCCTGTGCCACCCCTTTCCCCACCCTGAGCACTGACCTGGAGGAACCAGATTTATTCCCTACAAGCCCCAGACCAAGGAAGCATGGAATGGTTTGGGTTGAAAGGGAATTTAAGGCCCATCCAGTGCCACCCCCTGCCATGGGCAGGGACACCTTCCACTAGCCCAGGTTGCTCCAACCTGGCCTTGGACACTTCCAGGGATCCAGGGGCAGCAACAGCTTCTCTGGGAATCCCAGCCCAGCCACTCCCCACCCTCACAGGGAAGAATCCCTTCCCAAAATCCCATCTCACCCCACTCCCTGGCATTTAAATCCATTACAGTGACAGGTTAAACCCAAGTCTTTCAGCTGCCTCTGGGCTGGAGCTGAGGAGGGTCTGAGACCCCCAGTGCTGCTGCTGGGATGGAGCTGGAGCTGCCAGAGATGGGCAAGAACATGGGATGGTTTGGGTGGGAAGGGACCTTGGAGATCATCCAGTGCCACCCCCTGCCATGGGCAGGGACACCTTCCACAGGCCACGTTGCTCCACCCTGGCCTTGGACACTTCCAGGGATCCAGGGGCAGCCACAGCTTCTCTGGCAATTCCAGCCCAGCCCCTCCCCACCCTCACAGCCAACAATTCCTTCCCAATATCCCATCTCTCCCTGCCCTCTGGCACTGGGAAGCCATTCCCTGTGTCCTGTCCCTCCATCCCTTGTCCCCAGTCCCTCTCCAGCTCCTGGAGCCCCTTCAGGCCCTGGAAGGGGCTCTCAGCTCTCCCTGGAGCCTTCTCCTCTCCAGGGGAACCCCCCCAGCTCTCCCAGCCTGGCTCCAGAGCAGAGGGGCTCCAGCCCTTGGAGCAGCTCCGGGGCCTCCTCTGGACTCGCTCCAGCAGCTCCAAATCCTTCTGATGTTGGGGATTCCAGGGCTGGAGCAGCTCTGCAGGTGGGGTCTCACCTGAGGGGGCAGAGGGGCAGAATTCCCCCTCATCTGATGCCCATGGGGGATTTTTGGGCTTTCAAGTGCTCATTTTGGTTCATGTCCAGCTTCTCATCCACAAAAACTCCCAAAGTTTAGATCCAGATTACAGATGGATGGAGAAGGACAAGACCATCTTGAGCCTCAGGGCTCTTCCTCACAATTTTGAGGCTGCAAATGAGCAGTGCAGGACCATTTCTTACATCAGAGAGTCAATAAATAACCAGTCCCACCCGCCCCATCCATCAGCTGGAAACCCCTGCACAGGTTTTGGAGCTGAAAAATACTATTAATCATCCTTCTGGGTCCTAATGGATTTCTTAAACAGCCTAGAAAGTGGGAACATTAGGGGAAGATAAATGGGGATGAGAGCAAAGGGTTGTAACACAAATTAGGGACCATTTTGTCCCACACTGGGAAGGGAAAAGTGTTTGCCCAGAGGAGGCTGCAGAAAATGGAGGAAAAAACTCCACAAGGGACAAAAATAGATCAGAAAAGTGTCACCCAGAGAGCTGAAAGTGTCCCCCACTGAGCTGAGAGCAAAGAGCCAAACAAACATCTCTGGGGTTTATGAATTTGCCTTTTACAGATAGAGAAAGTCCATGAGCAGCTTGGCCTTGCACAGGGGTCACCCCAAACCAGCTCAGCATTGATTTTTCCTTCCTGAATTCACCTGCAGGTGGATCCTAAGGAATCAACAGCTTCAACAAGTCAGAAGAAGTGGAAAACTGTGTCCTTGGAGATGCTGTCCCAACACCAAGCCCTTCCTTGAAGGCCTCAGTTGGATCTTTCCCCATTCCCTAATTTTTCCCTAATCACTTCCCTAATTGCACCCACTGATCCTCGGATCAGTGCTTGTTTTCTATTCCACCTCATCCCTGATAATGGGATTAATCACCTGAAGAACAGGCAAGATGTGGGAGTCTGGGGGGTGTTTTGGCTCCCAGGGCTTTCCCAGAAATTCAGGAAATACAGGAACACTGTATTTGTGCCACTGGGGCTCTTTTGCCAGGAAAGATAACTGCAGATGCTGAAAGGGAAACTGGAGCCTGGGAATATCTTGGAATCTCCTTGTGTTATCCAAATGGCCTGGAATGAGGTTATTTTACAGCTCCTGGGACTTCTGTTGGACGACAGGGGGATGGACCTGTCTCTCCATGAACTGGGGGAGCCCAGAGATGCTGCTCCCCCACAAGGATCCAGATAATAAGATTATGCTAATCCATATTCAGCAGCAAAGCCTTTAAGGATTTAGGAAGTTTTGAAATATTATTTAAATGTATGTCAAGCTTTACATTATTTACTGTTATTAACTTGTCACCGTGGGCAGATTAAAATCCCGAGCGAGAAGAACCCTCTGGAGTGACAGATTTGAAAGCAAATGTGTCACTTTTTCCTCCCTGAGCCAGAAAATAATTTGTGTTTACAGTGCATTTCATGCAAATGAAGAGCCAGTCAGGTTTGGAGACATCATCCCCCCCTGCTCCAAGGTGTCCTGGTTAAACTGGGGACTTCCTGAAGGGAATGAAACAAGCCCAAGTCCTGCAGCAGCAGCAGAATCCCACAGCCCTCACCCTCCTCTGAGTTATGAACCACCCTCCATCCCAGCTTGCCTCTAAATATCCTCTTTCCCTTAATGAGAGCAGAAAAAGCTGTCAGGAATATCGATGGATCCAATATCTCCGGCACCAAGGGCCCCGTGTTTTCCAGAAGTGAAGAGAATTTCAACGCCAACATTGATTTTATTGCTCTGCAATATGAAGGAAGG